AACCAGTGTCCTGAACAGGCCAAAGTCCGCCCTCCGGAAGTCCATGGTTGCAGTTTTGCTGCCCCCCCTCCTTACTTCACCAAGAACCGAGAATTCTACCATTTCATGGTCGCTAAGCCCAAGACGGCCTCCGACCACCACATCTCCCACCAGTCCTTCTCTGGCTGTAAACAGCAGGTCGAGCGAGGCACCTTCCCTGGCAGGCTCACTTACCAGCTGTGTCAGGAAGTTGTCTTCCACACATTCCAGGAACCTCCTAGACTGCTTCCTCTCTGCCGTGTTATATTTCCAGCAGATGTCCAGGAAGTTGAAGTCCCCCAATATAGATGCAGATCAGGTAGTTTATGTGTAACTGGGCCAAGATAGAGCTTTTACTTCTCTTCAGGGTTTCTTTTTCCCCAATTACCATAGACTCCACCTGTATTATACCTCTTATTTATACTATGCCTTCCTGTTTTGACCTGGTCCTTTATTCAAGGTCAGATTGTTATCTGAATTTTACCGCTGAATTTCTGCGTATTTTCTCAAAGACTGTCTCTTGTCAGTATCTTTGCTAAAAATCATTCAAGCCATATTGTTTCTGTTACTTCACAATTCTATCAAATCATATTCTGAGGTATCCTCTTTTTCAGTTTAGACATATCCCATCTTACGATTCATTTAGAGTATGTCTGTAAAGGTTCTTTTTCCTGTCTCATTGCTTTCAGATCTACCTCTGTCTCTCCGTACTCCACTGCATCAAATACAATTACATGTCATCTTTAATATTCTTTTCTGTTTTATTTCATGTCTCACTAGTCATCTCCTCAAATATTAGGATATTGATCTTTTCCCACCTCCATATGAATAATGAGGATGTTCTTGATTGCTTATTTTTCAGCTACTTTTCAGCTTGCTTCTCCAGCGAGTGTATCTTCTGCTTTCCTTCCGTAGACATTACGAAAGGGAGAAATCCTTTTTATAAATCTAACAGAGCTGTCTTGTAGTCCTTCTTAAAGCTCTTATTTCTCTTAATTACAGAGTATTGGTCAGGCAGTTGATAATAATGTTCCTATGGTATGTCCACATTGCATAAGTTATTTTGGGGCATGGTAGTTCTTTTTGTTACGTTTGTGCGGTGCTTCAAACTGATGAATAATGTTATCTTCAAATTAAGGAGATATTTTTGTAGAAATGTAGTGAATACTGACAACGAGTTAATTAAAATGTACTCTAGCAACTAGCTGCTAGACAGTTTTACATCATGGGGATCTATATGCCTTCTTGGAAAAGATGCTTCCTGTAGGCTTATAAGGAACTTTCTCCTAGTTGCTTGTTTAACTAATAAACATTAGGCTCTGAGTAAGGCTATGACAGATTTGTGTTCCAAAAGTAGGTAGGAACAACACTAGAAATGAAAGAGATTTCATCCTGTCAGTAATTTCTATGAGTAATCAGACTTGGGAGGGAAGATTAAGCCTATAATTATTTTTCTTATGCATTATCAATGAAGGAAAAGCTACAGGAAACTGCATATATGTGGTTTTGCATAGACAGTGTTCATAAAAGAATAGGAACTCTGTCTGCACTACATATATCTCTTATTAAAAACAGATTGGAAGTTTGTAAAAGTTAAAGTACTTGTGTGGGGGGTGGGGGAGTTCTCTCTTGATTTTTAGCTACAAAATATAGAGTATGGTTTAAAGACTGCTTTAGAAAGCACTTGAAATTCCTAATATTGGTGGAGGGAGGTGGGAGGAGAATTGATATTCTTCTTTAATAGGAACCTAAGCACTATTGCTGGAGAGCATGGAAGGAAAGGAATGAAAATGACAAGTTTTCTTTTCATGTTCAAGTCTTAATGAAGTTTATGAAGTGAACAAGTGAAAAATAAATGATAACTTAATATATTTCTTACGATGTAAAGCTTTTCTAATACAAAGAGGTGGGTGGGGCAAGGAAATTTCAGTCTTTATAGTTCTTGGAGATAAATCAGACTTTGTAACTATTTGCAATTGATCCTACTATCTTAGGTTTTCAAGATTAAAGCAGTGCAACTGGCAGGAAAACTTCTTCCAGCCTTCAACACACCTACGGGTATACCATGGGCAATGGTGAATCTGAAAAGGTAATGAATTTTCTTTTGTGGGGAAGTGTGTTCCTCCCCCTCCCTCCAACTTAAAATTAGTAATGGCATATGTCTGTTTTTCTTAGTAGTGGAACTGTAGAAGATGCAGACAAATTGGCCTTCCTGGCATTTTAGAATTTTAGTAGAGTTCAGAGTATTTTACCTCATTAACTGCAATAAATTGTGACCATGATTTTTTTTGTCTCGATTCTGCAATAAGACTTCAGCATGCCATTGGAACATGCCCAGTGCATTATGCCATGTGTTGTCCTTGAGCTTAATCATTGGTTCTTTAGTCGTTAAAGAAAATAGTTTGCAGGCCATGGTTGAACTTACTGGGTTTTTTTATGTACTGTGTGAGCTGTATGTTACCTTCAGAAGACTCACAATGTGTGAGAAGATGATGGGACTCTGAAGATATTAATTCATTTTACAGTTCAACTTAGGTATAAAGGCTAATGTGCTGAAGTCCACTACGGTCAGTGGAGATGGAGATGCTCTTTTAGATGGCTGTTCAGTCAGACACTGAACTCAGGTGGTCTACATTGTCTTGTGGAAGAGAATTGCCTTGCCTAATTTATCTTGTATTGCTTGTTCAATGCTGGGATTTCCCTCAGATTTTGAGAGTGTGTTTTTGATGCAAGGCATTTTTAAATTTTTATTATGTTCTTAAACAGTAGCTGAATTGGGAGGCATGTCTAGATCGTGTGTACACTTAAGCAATTCAGGAGAGTAAATAGCAGAGTGCTTTTGAATTGTTTTAAACTGTTTTCCTTTTAGGAGAGATATTTGTTGTGCTTTGTTAGACTGCGAAGAGGTTTAGGACGACTTTGAGAGCGTTAGCCTTACGTGCCTTTTTGTGATTGGGAAACGATCCTCACTTCGCTGTCACTCCTTGGGTGAAGACTATGGAGCTGTGGTTTGCCCTTCTGTTGGCGCAGGGCCTCACAAACCTTTTCTGGTTTTCTCTGCTTTGCCTGCGCTGCACTTTCTCCTCTGAGGCCATTTATTGGACCTCTGTACAGTTAATATTGTTGGCTTAAATTTCCCTATGCACTTTCTGCATGGCATTCTGGCTTACTCAGTCTTGCGTTCTTCCTGTAGTTTCGTACGGCTTGAAATTCCTCTGTGCATAAGTTTTTTTTATTTTTGCTTTCTTTAGCCCAAGCCTGCACCATGATTCCAGTATGTTTGAATGGCCCAGGTGGCTGTACTCCTCAGGCAACACAGGCTTCCGGTTCACTGCCTTGAGCAATATAGATGGCGAGGTTTAAGAAGCTGCAAGCAGTAGATATATGGATACTTATCAGTAAAACACGGAGGCCAATCGCATAGGTCAGGTATCAGAGCACAGTCAGGAAGGCAGGACCAGGGAGGAGGATTTGCAGTAGGTGGAGGGAAAAGAATTGGAGCGCCAGAAATTTCATGTGTGCCGCTGTTGTTTATGCATTTACTGCGTCAGTCTCTTGGTAACGTACAGAACCCACCAGCATCACAGCAGAAAATACAGCGTCTGGCATGCCAGGGGGCAGTGACAGTAGCAGGCATATATGAGAACACTTATCATGAGGCTGACGTGCAGTAGTAAAAGATAGGACCTGAAAGAAATATTTGGAAAATAATCGACTTGTGTTTTATTAGCTTTTGTATTCATAATTAAACACTTAAATTCTCTTTTTGTGAGAGCTGTACCAAAAAAACCCTGAGACAAGCTATGGTTTTGTCTCTCTACACTCTATAAACAGTGGTTACTGTATTTTAAAAGGTGGTGTTCTGTCTCAGGTCAGAGCTACAAATACTGCTCCATAACCAACATTTTTCCTTCACATTTCCTCTTTCTAATTTATAATTTAAAAAATAACTAAGGCGACATTCCTAGTTGATTGTAGTCTTATTGATAACTGAAATCTTTTGAGAAGAAGTAGAAGTAATCTCCAGGAAAATGTAGCTAACTTCAGACATTAAAAGACCCGTTCCTGGAAGGTGGTGAAAACTCCGGAGTTGGATTAAACCACAGGTAATTTAGGAGTTATGACTTAGCAAGACGGTATCTCTTAGAGTGCAAAAGGTATGTGGTCTGTGGTACTTTCTGTTGATTCTTTGTGAGCCTGAGGAACTCATAGTATTCTGCCTACAGTAAACATACTGTTCTCCTATGTAGATACAGATAGGGCCCACTCCCATCCTGCTTGAGTGTCTAATACTGACTTGAAGCACATCCCACAGAAGTAAAGGGAACATGGCAGATGTTTGGCAGAACGAGGAAGCGAATGTTGCCACCTTCGGAAGTATACTCGTCTCGTCTGATAATTGCTTTTGATTCTTGTTCTTAGGGACATGCAATGAATAAACAACAATCGAGATTGGGTCTAGTGTTAGGACATTGTATTTCTGTGATATCAAGATATTATATCTTCTAATTACAGGACTGAGGTTATGGTATCTTTTTTTCCAAAAAGACCCAACCAATGGACCAACTGATCAATCAAACCATAATATTTTTCTGTTACTTGTGTAATTTGCTGTGGTGGTTGTTACTAGTGCTGTGCACAGTAATTCTGAATTTTTTGTTCTTTTCTCCCTTTTTTTATGCATATTTGTTGGAATTCAGTGGTGTGGGTCGAAACTGGGGCTGGGCTTCTGCCGGCAGCAGCATCCTTGCTGAGTTTGGTACTCTGCACATGGAATTTGTCCACCTCAGCTATTTGACAGGGGATCCTGTATACTACAATAAGGTGGGTCTCAAATTCAGTTTTTTATCACACAAGGGTCTTTTATACTGTTTCATTGTAAATTGCATTAAAGGGGAAGTACTTTCTATATTGCATTCTATTTGCATTCTTGGTAGCAGGTAAATGTTTTCATACTTGTATTTCTGTTACCAAATAGGTGACTTTTTAAAGTAGAAATTTATGACAGCACAAATTTTCTTATTTGTTTCAGCATACGTTTAAAAATTGTAATTTTTAAACATGTTTATGTCAGCAGTCCTTTAAAAGCAAAAATGTACTAATCTGCAGGAAGCCCTCAAGAAAGCTTCTGGGTTCAGGTTAAGAAAACTTGCTGCTAAAAAAAAAAGAAAAAGAAAAAAGATTAGATTTAACTATGTGCAGAGAGCAGATGAATGTTGTTAGTGGTGATCCTGATTCTTGATTTAATTTAGGTCATGCACATTCGGAAGTTACTTCAAAAAATGGATCGTCCTAATGGACTTTATCCAAATTATTTGAATCCAAGAACAGGCCGGTGGGGTCAGCGTAAGTATTCTTATTTCATTCATTCCTAATTAAAGCTCTACTTGTTATTTTGTTGCTGAGTTGGAGATCAGAAAAATTATTCTGTAGGGCATGAACAGCATTGCTTGAAAACATGCAACGTAGAGCGATTACTTTGACTTGAGATCTCCTGAAATCAATTTTTGCCTGTTGCTGTCTCTGAAGTCACGCAGCTCCATTTTATGGTGCTTCCTACCAAATCTGATGCCTATCCTTACTTTTATCAGTCAATAAAACCTTCAGTAATAAAGAATGAGGCTGAAAATAGTTTCCTCATTTTGATTTTGTTCCTGCTTTTGTTCTGCAAACCATCTGGTAAGTGGATTACTGTAAGGTAACATAGAAGTAATGCATGTTTGTGGTGGTTAAATTTGAGCTCCTTCACCTGGTGTTAGGGACTGACATTTACAAACGTCATTATTCTACTTAGTGGCATGTGAAGTGGCACCATGAACCTCCCTGTAGATCCTGCTGTTATCAATGTGTGTCTCATTAAAAAAAAAAAAAAAAAAAAGCGTTGGAATGAAAAGAAAAAAATGTTTTTGTTGCTGACAGTGTAAGTGGAGAGATAAAACATGAAGATAGAGACACAAATATGATTCCTTTTCTCGAAGTGGTTCTTCCAAGAAAAATTGAGTGGTTTAGTGCTTTCATAGTGGGTGTAATAAAAGAGAATTCTTTTTCTTCAAGGTTTCTGTTCCTATTTCTTTTATGAATGCAAGTTTATTTAGGAAAAACAAGCAAGATGTTCTATTTCTGTCCTATTTGACATCATTGACGGGTTTTGGGGATTTCAGTGGTTGGCTGTAAATATCCAGCAGAACATGTTCTGGCTTGCAAACTGAGAATTTGCTTCTGACTTTGAGTCTGGTATATGAGGGAAATGAATGCAGCTGTCATTGCAGTGACTGTGAAAAGAGTTGTCTAATCTGATCGTTAAGGCCAAAATTGCCTCCCAAGAGTCTAATATCTTTGAGTGAATAGTGACAGCTTCTGAGACTGACACATGGGTTGATGAGATAAATTCTTCAGACAAATTTAGGTTTAACGATGCATTCAGAAAAAAGAAAGTGAGCAAATACAAATATTCACCTATAATTTATTCAAAAGACAATTTTACATTGTTGTTCTGAAATAATTTTTTCTATTGCTTTTTTCTATTCCTAACCAATTGCTCCTGCTACTTTTATCAAAAGTAGTCTAATGTGGCATGTCAATAGGGTTGTTTAGGGGCTTTTTGTCAGTTGTAATAAAGCTCAGAATTAGCAGCTCTTGGGAAGAAAAAATAATCCTGGTCACTGAGAATAAACATACAGTGAAAATTTTAACTTTGCAGAAGTTTGATGGAGCTCAAACACACTATTTAAATGAATTTTGAAAGATAATACATTTGGGACTAAAGTTTAGAATTACAGGCTGAGACTTAAGTTCTTAGGATAAAAAGAAATACAACTTTACAGAGCCTTTAATTGTGCTGCTCATTAGCCACAAACTTATTTCCTGGAATTTGGTGGTTGGTTTTTTGTTTGGGTTGGGTTTTTTTTGTTTTGTTGGGTTTTTTCGAGCAAATAAGCTTCCAAGTGCAGATACAGATATTCTGGTAATGTTTCTAAGATATCTCCAATGCAACAAGCATTTGTAAACTTATCTTGAAAAGCTTTGTGGGGACAAAAAAGCAAGAATCCCTAATTCTGTTTTTCCTGCCACAAACCAGGATGGAACGATGAGAAACTGTTGCATCCCTGGTAGAACACTCTTCAGTGAATCTATTTGCAGAAATTTAAGAAGTTACAGTAAAGGTACACATGCACTGAAACGCTGGACATATGAGCTGGCTTAGACAGGAATTTTTCTTCTGATTCTCCTGCAGAGATTGTATCCTGCATCACCGAAGTCAGTTAAGGGTGATGCCTTCATGCACTACATCTCAGTTCACTAGAGCTCATGTCAGAATCCACGATACTGTTACTGACTTAAGTCACGTTGTTGGTATTAAGGGCAGGCAAGGCTTTTATGTCCTCCTCAGAAGGTAATTTCAAAGAGCATTGTGTTTGGCTTGTTATATACTTTAGTACTGGAAAGACTGAGACAATGAAAGAGTACCAAAGCGTAACTTTTCTTCTTTCAGCTTCTGGGAAAGCTGCCCTTTTCATCTTTGTTATGACCTTTAGTTTGATGCATCTTATCTTGTACAAAGTACTTTCTCCAGATAGTTTCTGAGAATTATTTCAGAACTCTTTATTTGCCTAGATACATGTAACTCTTGACTCTGACCTTTCTGGGTTTTCTTTTTTCTTTTTCTTCCTTTTAACATTTTTTTTTTCCCCTCCTCAGACTTTTTTGGCTCAATTCCAGTTAGGTTTTCTGTTAATCTGTACGGTGTTCCAACTAAGTCATGAGGGGTGGGAAATAGGTAAAATGAATCTACATAGATACACAGTTGAAGTAGTATGGGATTTAGCTGCAATATAGCATCAGGATATGAAGGAGATATAGAAGGGGATAAAGCCAGGCTCACTAGAGATGAGCCTAGGGGTAGCATGCCAATGCTGGGGGCGAAATCGATAGCCCAGCTCAAGTGCATCTACACCAATGCACGCAGCATGGGCAGCAAACAGGAGGAGCTGGAAGCCATTGTGCAGCGGGATAGCTATGACTTAGTCGCCATCACAGAAACATGGTGGGGTGACTCCCA